CTAAATGTTTTTTTCCGTGCAGAAATAAGAATAGTGTAATTAAAAGTGCACATAATTTCGATTATACTTGTAACAATGATAAAAAAAGACATTTAAAAACTAGTAAATATATTGTAATTAATACAAAAATAGAAACTTATCATCTGATGAAATCTCACACGAGTGAAACAAATTCGGGCGGAGAATAATAGGATTTTCAAAAAATACTGTGCGCTGTGAAATTATGAAGATGTATTGCTATCCCTAAATCACAACAAGTTATAACCAAATAGTAAGAAGATAGAGAGTCCGGTGGCTATTTTAGACTTATTGTTAGATATACGTTGCGTCGCCACGAACATAAATATGGAGAGCAATCTTAGGTATTTGTCGAAATCTAAACTCCCGGGAAACTATTACAATTTTCAACTTGCACGTGCCATAACAGTGCGTTCAGCGAATAATTAGTTTTAATCGTTTCACATCCAACACGTTAATCTTACTACGTTTCATCAAATATAATCTCCCTTACTTACATTGTATCTAATCAAAGTTAAATATCCGCAACATGTACGTATACGATCAATTAATGTTAACACAATGTATTTCTACAGATTTAATATTGTGTGTTGGAAAGTCTTAAAATGCTAAATCTTTTTTAAAAAAACTATAACGATAGATTTAATTTTTGTAAAAGATTTATATGATAAATTTGATATAACTGAAAAAAATAGAAAGATGAAAGAAAGAAAGTATTTCTTAAAGTGACATATTTTTCAACAAAATTGCATCTCGTGACATTGTTGGAAAAAGAGTGGAACTGCGATGCTGCTCGAATGCTGCGATGCGCAAACGCCTCTGATACTGACGCGAATTTTCAGGAGTAGTTGTTCTCTCTCTTTCTCTCTCCCAGAATTCTACGGGCAATATTTTTCGCAGGGTTCATTGAAACGGTCGCTTTATCTTCAAGCGGATTTACTAACGCATGTAGTCGTACGCGATTTACCTCCGTTTTCACAAATGTATTAGATAAAAATATTTTACGTATCATTAAAAGTACTCTTAAAAAAATAGAATATGTTCTTGAATCACAAAAATATGAGGAGTTACAGTTAAAAAACTTTAAAAGCTTACGATTGATGTTTACGTATATTAGAATAAACGGTACTAAAAATTATTATGCAATGAAATACTATTAGTTATACAATTGTATAACTCACATAACTTCTGAAATCAGCACATTTCAGTAATCTTATTCTTTTTTTATATTATTTATTTGCTGCAGTTAAATTTATACATTATATAATAATTGACACCTGTAATAATACTTGTATTATTTTTACCTAACAGAAATTTTAGAACATCCAGATGTTTTAATTATTTGAGTTTATTTTACAATATAATCCAATTGTTTTGTCAAAGTGAAAAAAATGTCCAATAAACGACTCGGGTTGAAAACAAAAAAATTTTTAATGTTGCTACACGGTTCTTCTTAATTTAACATTTTTTTCAAACTTAATTCTCTCAGAAAAGATTTATAAAAATCATCCATACTACCTACAAAATTCCAAAACTGTTATTTAGTATCGTATTTTATGCCTTTAAAAAAATTCCAAGAAATGTCAGGTCGCATGTAGAAAGTGCATTCTATTCTTTATTAATTTTAAATAGGAAAGTATATATTCTCTCTGTAAAATAGAGAAGCGTACATTCTGGTATCAATTACTATTAGAGTAGTAATTGCAGCAAAAAGTAGTCTTGAGATCGTGTTGCACTTTTAGTGAAGTAATCTATCGACGTACTCGAAAACTTGCTCTCCGGAGCTCTTTTGAGACACTGGATATCGAAGGTGTAACTCACCGCGTGAATACAAAGTATCCGGACTTTTTCTAATCGCCACAAGTAGAGGGTGTTACAAGGTGTGCAAGCTGTTGATTCTAAAAAGATAATATTGACGATGGATGGTTTCTCTTTGATCTCCCGTGCAGCAACGCAGTCGCGTAACTTACGATATACGCGATCAATCTGTTCAAAGGAACACACGACACCGATGGCAAAGGACCAATAACGTAACGCAATCGTTAATCAAAGCGATTTACTGAGAGATTATTATTGTACATTCAAAGCAAAGGATGACCGCACGTTTCATAATTTTTTCCCCTCTTTCGTTTCAATCCTCAATTAACATGTCGCACTTCTTTCCTTTAATTGACATGACTTATAACTACATGCAAGAATAAATCGCTTAAAGTATTATTACGTAGAGAAAAAAAGAGGGGGGTAAAGGTTTCAGATTGGAAAACACAAAAGTATACAAAATGAAACAGAGACGGCGATCTGCGATACTGATGCATATTTATCAAAAAATAGCATTTCATTTTCTTTTAATTTTGCATCTCGAGTTACAGTGACTTTGATAATATCAAATTTCTACAGAGATACACATGTACCCATTTAAGAAATGAAGGTATTTCTCCCGTGTGTTAAAAACAAAGAAAAACATGTTGCTTGCGTATTTTTATTCTATAGTTATTTCGAATCGTAAATTTATTGCATTGAGACAAGAATGAAGACAAAAGAGGTGTATCGGCATGAATCTCTTTTGTTCTAAAAAAATCTACACTTGCAAAGGAAACTTGGACACTGTGCAGACTTTAAAATCAAATTGCTCTCCACGGATTTGTTATTCCTCTTTTGTCTCCAGTGTGAATTTACGACCGATTTCAAAATGCCCCAAAATCTATCATCGACCCTTTGAAACCAATGATAAATTCAGACTGCAAGCAAAAGAGAGCAATCTGAGAGAATGATTGAATTGCACATCTCTATGAATTTGGCAAACCGACTGGATTACGTGCGCAAAAATCCGCTTCGTGGAAGAAAATAATTAGTATTTTAACATTTTTATTAAATAAAAATAACTGAGAATAACTAAGAAAGTTAATCATTTTATTTATTAAATTATGTAAAGTTCAAGCGATAAAAATTATTGTGAAACTAAATTTTTATGAAAAAGTAAGATTAGATGATTGAATGAAAAAATTTGGAGTTTAATGTAATTGGCTTTTTAATATGTTATATTATTATATATATCCATATTTCGATTAGCAATGAATAGATTAACTAATTATTAATTAATTATCAATTATTAATAGAAATATGCAATAATAAATGATAAATTTGTTTTTCAAATTGTTATAAACGAAGATGTGTGATTTTTTCTCATTTAAATAATGAAATGTATATATACGTTTAAAATTAATATATATATATATATATCTTATTATACCTAATGAGAACAATAAGTTCTCCTGTTGATAGTCTTATATTCTATCATAATACGTTCATTATACTTCTATTACCGCACTAACAATAGACTTAATTGTCCGAAAAACAGTGTTACGATCGAAAAGCGAGTCATTCACCTTCCCGAGGGAGCCCTTACGTGAAACACTGGTGAAGAATAATTTCGCGGCATTAACAAAAATCTTGATATTATGTTCCGTCACAAGTTACATTGCTTTCTCCAAGTTTACGAAGGCGATCACGAAAAATCGGCGGGCATTACGTACGTCTCAGTGGGAATCATGGGAAATCCATCGCGATTCTGTCCATGGGGAGAGATGTGTATACCTGGGAAAAACTCGGTTCTCCGTTAAACGCAAAAAAACACTGTCTATCTCGTTCTGTTTCGCAGCACACGTACACGGAACGAATGACCGGCGATATTAGATCGCTCTCTTGAGCGATCTTTTCCGATGGACCCGAACATCGATGTTCTGTCTTTTTAAAAATTAGTTTTCAATGTTGTTCCGAGGGGCATCTCGCTGACGATTACGCAGCTCGTTTTATACATTTGTTCTGTCCTTTAATCTCTTGAGTCTCAAACATGTATTTTGTCACATATCGTGCGGACGAACAGATAGGTAAAGGGTAGAAATGGTCCAGCGGAGAGGAATGCGAGTAAAGACACACTCGCTCGTGCGACGCGCGGAACGCGACTGAAGGCGCGTCCAAGCGCCGGTCCGAGAGAAGGAATCACCGGTCCGACGCAGCGTCGCGTTCGCACGCGCCCACACTCGCGCACGTGTCGAGAGACTCGCAAATTTACCCTCGAACAATAAAACAATATGCACCTTCGTAATGTATTATATTAATAATACAACATGACACTTTGTAGCTTTTAACATTACGGGATTTGTTGATCGAGAGAAAGTGAGTGAGAGAAAGAGAGAGAGAGAGAGAGAGAGAGAGAGAGAGAGAGGGGGGGGGGGACTTATACAATACATTGTCTAAAATTAACGAGAAATTATTTAAAAACAATGCATACACATAATGAGGTGGTAAACCAAAGTCGTTATAAGACTGTTCTAATCTTATGTAAAATAAAGAGTACAAAGGTACGAAAATATTGTATAAGATGTCTATAATTAATACCTTGATGAATTCTGCCAATGGAGTTAACATTGACCAAATATTGTCTTAGATTATTCGATATTCTTCCGACTGTGAATACATTTCCTTAACATTATGGGATAACCGCTTTATTGATCGACGATTGATAAGAAGAAATCTAAAATACAAGAATATACCATGCAAATATAATATTTTCTTTTGTGTATTAAAAAAAATTATTTAGGAGCAATTAACTGCGCGAAGTGTGATTTAGTATTATAGACAATAATCGAAATGATCAGGAGTATGTTACATTTGCATTATACACACTTCGAATTGCAATAACGACATTTTATGCATATCCATTTATGCGTGTGAACAGTTGCTTGTTTCCGGGACACCGGGCTTGAATAGGTTACAAGAATAATCCTCGATAATCCGTGAAGTTAATTAACGTTGAACGAGATTTTGCGATATCGGATGGAATTAAAACCGTTGAAATTGATTGCAACTGATCGAAATTGACTGGAATTAAAACAAACCAATCGGAATTCGGAGAGATAAGCTCAATAAAATCCGACCACTTGTTGGCGCAACAAGTATATTTATTCAGAAACGGCAAATATGCCGATGCAATTACACACATGTTTGTCAATGTTTGTTCAATACTTTCATTGGACAATTACACTAAGTACATATTTAAATTATTTAAAAAGTTGCACAATGTGCGTGCGCGTGCGTGTGTGTGTGTAGAAATTATAGAAAGCTCAATATTGTACATGTACAGAATTTCTGATAGTTGACATTTCTTTTCCTTGTACTATCATCTATTTCAGTTTAATATAGAGTGAAAGTCCCCTACTACGAGGCAGGTTCCCAATATAAGATAGCGAAGTTTCTGCTAAATTAATATGCATGTTGGTCCCACCATAAATTTATTGCTCTTGAAATCTGTTTAATGGAAAATTAATTGTTAGAGATCGTGTAATCGTTGCGAAAAAAGATTTGTGAATTTGGACGTTGAAAATTCACTGTTTCATATTAGAATCCTATTTCATAATAGAGAACTGCCCTCTACATATATTTGTGCTACACGTAATTTTGATTTGATTTGACTTTTGAAATATTGATTTTTTTCAAGGGACGGATGCTTCGCCAGTAGTAAATTAACAAAAAAGATTCGTTGATAGTTCGACCGTAACTGGCACAGATTTATTAAAGCGGCTACGCTTCGACCCTTAGTTTGGGTCCTTTTCAAGCCTACAATATATCTCGCAACACTAGATTCATGTCTAATGTTGCAGGTCGATGAAAAACAGTACAGAATAGTCGAAGATTAAAAATGTATCGTTACAATATAGTCGTGGATTGATAAAGCAAATCGACATGTTGCCGCTGCGCGAAACAGATAGTTAATATCGGTAACGTCCGTGTCCGTTACCGATATTAATATTGCAATGCGATGAAATGATACTTTGTCATCGCTTGCAATAAACTATTATTTATTTCTGTACGTATTTTACTGACTATGACAGTGTATAAAAATTAGTATATATTATATATTTGATACATCGTGAATGAAGACCGCAATCTTAAATTCTAGCCACGCAATGTGCAACCCGCATTTCGCTGCGTATGCACAGAGTGTATGTCATTGAAATTTTGTAACGTCTATATATATTCCAAGTGCATCCGAATGTCGCGAATGCATGTTTATCGGAACGGAAGTTACGCCTGCTCGTGTTTCGACAAGAAATCGATAATAATGTGTTTGACGCGGCGAAAAGGCGCCATTTATTGTCATTCATTCCAATGCGTCACGGTGGCGCATAAGGAATATTGAGCAGTACACAGTAGCATTTATAAGATTTATTTCGCACTGATACAAATTAAGTGGATTACGTAATTTTTGTACACTGTTTAATTCTTGTCACCCATATTATAATTTTTTACCCATGACTTTAAATATGGCATTAATACCGGAAAAATATTCTTCGTCTTTATCCACAAAGTCGGAAAAATTTTTCGTCAGGAAGTCTTCGAATCCCACATCTACTGCTATTTGTTGTGAAATTCTCGATGTGAACACCGAGACTGTCGCCGGGATTCCGTACGCAGGTCCGATCAAGTTTCTATAAGGATAAAATTTAAGTTACCTGAGATATTGACAGGTGAATGTAAAATTGATTAACATAATAGAGGATGAATTAATAAAAATCGAATATAAGAAATGAGGAATATATTTGCGTATCAATGCCACCAACTTGTTGATATGATGAATAGAAATATAGGATCTATTACATTCCACATTTTAGAATATTAAATGTAACTTTGTAATAATATGTAATTATAACGAAAGCTCAAAAACTGGAATAGATAATTGGCATTGTCTACATATCAAACTCTTCAGAAAATGAAAGAGCTATTATGCTTTGAATACATTTATGTAGTCCCTAAAAATTTTGAATTATGAAATTCCAAAGTATTGCTAACTTATCATATTTATTGTAGGCGAGATAATGTTTTAACACAAGTCATACCTGATTTTCAGCATACACTTGCCCAATCCGTATCCTCGATAATCGGGATGTATACTAAGCCCATGTTCGTATAAATACTTGTCAACTTTATAATGTTTGTGTACCACCTTCTGTTTTGCATTAGATATAATTTCCATTGTTCTTTTACATTTTTCTGACTTGAACTGTTACAATTATCAATTCGAACTTAGTTACGTATGGTAGAATGAAGTGGAGTAAGTAGAATCGAGTAATCAAATTTATTGATAAAGCTTAATCCCACCTCATAACAAGAGCTGCTAGCTTTCTGGTTGTTAACATTAACACCCAGAATATTTACACCGACAATTATAGGCTGTTTTCCATTGGGATTGTCGATGAATACGGCTATAGATATGCCTTGTGAAAGTAGTAAGCGCCACAATGTACTCATGTCTTGTACAAATAAAGAGTCATTTTTCGCATCTGCCAATGAGATAGATTGAAAAGTAATACAAAGTAATCGCAGGATCATGCTCTCTTAAAATCAATCAGTGGATCATCAATGAAAAGCAGCGAATAGTCACTGATCACACTTATAAGTATACCACCGCGATCTCGCAGTGTTAACCTGTGATCAGTGAAAGTCCACTGATTGACTTTAAAAGAGTGATAAATCGAAGACCATTATTTCTTTCTGGCTTCGAGTAAGGATTATTTTAAAAGGAAACAGAGTCCTTCTCAGATCTTCTTTTATTTCTTTTTAATCGCAGCTTCTTTCTAACGCTTCTTTTAAAGCTTCTTTTAAAAAAAAGTTAACTTTTAACTTAAGTGCGCAAACGGTGAATGAAATCGTTGTTAAAAAGACGTTTGTCATTACAAGACCATCAGTAATCGGAAACGTGATGAAACTTACTTATATAACGGCAGATTGGTTCTTGGGCCAAGAAGTATGTGCACATATGTTGAACCGCATCCTCGTATCGGTCTTCGGAAATTTCCTGAATCGTTAACTTCATCGACTTTCCGTCCTTACGCACGATATCGATCAGTTGCCAAACCTTAGGTGGCTGGTCCAACGGCCTGATGCAAGACATCTTCTCTATCATCTTCTATACATATATCTGTTCCGAATAGGGTGCTTAACTTTTATGTCGAACTTTTACGTCTGCATTCGTATCAAATGACGATTTGCCCAAACGTCGCTGAACTATATATAATTCCCACTATTAATTGCGTCACGATGTCTACCAGGTGTTCACCAGACGGTTATTATCAATTGTTAGTCATTTTTCATTGTATGTATAATTAATATTACGTTTCATCGCATTTATTAGATGTCCGTTCGCGTCTGTGCGTTTCGTAATATTCGAATGTTATATTTAATGAAAAATTTATTTATAACTTGGCATTGCATAATTAATATATCGCATAAAACTAATATTAATCGAAAGAACACATAAAAATGTAAAGAACTAGCCAATAGGAAAAATTTATATTCTCTCCAGTCTCCTATGCATACACAGAAAACTATATTGCCTAACTTGTATGATAAAAGCATTTCTTGACTCTTAAATTTACATTACTAATCGAGAAGTCACTCAAACTGCAGTACTTTGGTGAATATTTTAATTATTTAATCTATAACAGATTTTACAAAATCTTTGATGAATTTCTTTTTTCTTTCTTTCCGTGGATTTCTTTTCCTTACAGTTAAGTATTTTGTGCTTCTTTTTCCTTTAAACACGATGATTAACAAAGAAATTTAAAACAACTTTTTCCAAGCATTATTATCTCATAAGTAACTAAAATATTAGTTCGTTATTAAACTATTACTGAATAGCATTATGGTTACAAGGTTTAAATGTTATTTTAACGTGTAGGTAGTGTAGAATTTTATCTGTTTATAAATAAGACGATTTGATTTAACGTTTTCCTAAGTGTTATATGAATTTTTTTAAGTTTTCATCAATTTACAATGAAATTTGGATCAACCGATAAGAAGCTGGAAATAATGCTCGCTTGTAAATCAGTCTGCTTGCTTTAATCGGAAACCCGTCCACTAGCGCCTCGATGTGCACAAAATATGCACCTTGTAGGATATTTCTGGTGATAACTATTCCCGTGATACTCACGACTATAACTATTCAGGAAAATAATTTTTGCGCGTTTTCCTTTTATTAAATCCATTTATTAAATGCGATGAAATGAGACTATAATGAAATATTCAATTGCAAAATTTACGCGTGGTTATTAATTCGGATACTTTGATTGGAATACAATAAATCTCTTACATCTCTTATACCGCGCTTCAAACTTTTCGTCCATCCAGATGTAACTTGTTAAATAAACATAAAATAACAATGCAGAACTGTATGCGCAGAACACTTTCGTTACTTTAAATATGTAGCGTCATTTTTGGTGTGTTGGCTGCAATAATGACACTGCTGATTGCGTTTGACTGATTGTGAGAGAGCACGTGCACGGTGATAGTCCTTATCCGCCATCTTTATTATACACACACTAGTCAATACATAGCCACTCAGTGCTATAGCAACGCATATTGCACACCTAATTTTTAATTAGAAAGAACAGTATCATAGAGAGAATATAACGGAAATATAATGAATAAAATTATTATCACGA